AGGAGTCTCTGCGTCCATGGTTCCGCATGCACAGTGATAATGTAGCGCAGTGGTGGGCCTGCTTGGTTGCGGTAGCCGAGCGTCTGCTTGCAGCTGATTCGCCGTCTGCAGACTTGGCAGATGCTGACCAGCAACTGCGTTTTGCGGTGCTCGATCCGACCATTGGCTGCATGTGGACGCTGGCCCGGTGCGTAGAAGGTACTATACCTGTCACGCCTGATCAGATCGAGGGACTGATCCATATCTATGTTCAAGCACCGTCATCGGCGTTGCAAGTAAAGGCTGTGGGTGCATTGGGTAATATTGCTCGTCGCCACCCAGGCCACATCGAAGCTAACCGCCGTATAGGCTGCTTTTTACTTAACCAGGTCATTGCTGCACCGCTGCAGACGCTGGCACAGCCCAGCACCGCATCTGTGCGTGTTGCTGTGGAACCAATAGTGGAAGCATTGGATCTGGTATTTGACATCTATAGCGATATGGAATTTGACTATGACGAGCCTGTGTTTGTGCGGGAGAGCATGCTGGCCCAGCTGCGGCAGCTGTACATTCCAGTACGCAAACTGGCCAAGACTGTTGATCGCCGCAAGCACCGCAGCCTGCGTGATCGCTGTGACCTGGCAGTTCAGAACCTGCGTGCATTCATTGACTATAAGGCGTCTGAGCGCAAAGCTACCCGCTAGCGACCATGCAGGCGCTGTTCTTTTTGGCTTTTCTTTGCTAATACATTGAGCAGAAAAAATTTTATACAGTATGTTAATATATGCTAGTTAAAATACAGATGTTTCATAACTCTATAGTGCTGCACGCACGGGTTCCAGACGGTACCGCAGCTCTTTTGCTGGCTTCGTTTCGGGTGCCCACTTGTCAAACAGTGCAACCAGGCGCTGCAGCTCGCTGCGCAGACTATGATTGTTTTGGATCTCGGGCTCGTCCCACAGCGTGCGCATGATCCAGGGAATGTAAAACGGGTTGAGCGGCTCTGTGGCATTGAATGGCCGGTACGACATGTGGATCTGCGGTCCGCTGGCACCATTACCATGTGCATGGCGTGCATCTGCCGGCACAGACTCAGAAGCTGAGGCACACGATGTAGCCGATGTAGAGTACAATAGCCACTTTACAGCCAGCTTGTACACGGCTGGCTCGCCATATACCGTTGAATGACCCCAGTGCCCCCATAGTGACCCGGCCACTACCTCGCTTAGATGAATAAGCAAATCATGGTCATAAATCCCCATGTTGCGCAGCCGCAATGCAAACACAATCAGTCCCGTTAAAAAGTCGTCACTGTAGTGTGGCGCATCAATATATACTGCGCGATACACATTCGGATGTGATACTCCCTGCAAAATCGCAGAGTAGAGCGGAACAGCCTCGTCTACCCACGATCCAACACACACCAGCCTCACACCATGATGCAGAATGGTGCTCAATGCCGCTACATATCGCTGGCTCTGGTATGAGCTTGGATCCATCAGCTCAAATAATTCTCGTGCTGTTCCAGACTCGATGTATTTTACCACGACATTATCCTTCAAATGCGCTAGCGGCCCATGGCTAATACCTGCCATGGCCAGCATCGCCACGCGCTGCCGGTCCGTGTCAATTAGCCCCAGCTCCATCAGCCGCTCGATTATCATCGCTGATACGGGTGTGCCTTGAGAGTGCGTTACCACAAACACTGTGTCAGCATCACGCAGCACCTGAGCACGTTGACTGCGCTCCGGCATCAATGCCTCAGCTGCTTGTTCGGACAGCTTTCCTGACGGATTGCGATTATCAGCTTCCTCAGCTGCTACTTTGGAGTCTCCTGATGTCGCTGCTACTGCTGCTGTTGCTGCTGCCTGTTGTTCTCGCCGACTACTTTCAGCAGCCTCAGCATCAAGAATTTGCGCCAGCAAAAGCTCTACACGGTCCTCGATCCGTCCTTCTCCAATTAGCGGGAATAGACTGATGTCACTGTCTGCTATAGCTACTTGATGGCTCTCTTCTAAATACGCTTTGAGCGCATCACGCATCATCAGGCAGAACTTTTCTGACTTGCCAGTTGGCTCTCCTGCTAGCATCTGCAGCATCCGCATTGGAAACCACCCGTGTACGCCAATAATAGCGATTTTACCCAATCGACTTGCGCTGTTGTCCATTAAGCTGGCAAGCTGGTCAGCCGTAGGCAGGGTGTCTCTGTAATCCGACCCATTCACTTGGCCCTGCGCATCTGCCACGCGCTGCCCTTGCAGTACTGTGCGGGCCCAGCTAGGCGCCATGTCGATAGCCGAGCTTACCACAGCCTGCCCCAATAATCGCAGCCGCTTGTGCAGTGGAAATACATCGCTTTCTGTATCAGTGCGCGCGTGCTTGTTTGCAGAATGCGATTCTGGCGAGGCTGAACTGGTATTCATGCTAACTGGTAAGCGTCTTTCTGGCAGCATATCTGCCGAAAACTTATCGCTTCCCACATCAAAGTCAGGTAGCAGCATACTTTTAGCTGATGCGTTTGGAGGCAGACGGTGCTGAGCTGCGGCCACTGCAGATATCGCTGGTGCCTGCTCGCTAGAGCTTTCTGCAGTTGCCAATGTTCCCTTGGCCACTGCATCTGAATCAGCCTGTACTAGGTTTTCTGGCTGGCTGTTTCTACTAGACCACCACTGCAGCCACTTTGAGCTGCGTGGGGACTCTTCATGCTTGGAATCGGTTTTGGACTTTACATCGTCATTAATGGCTTTGCCAGATGTAATAGAAGCAGCATCTGTCGGCTCTGGCCGCTGGTTGGTCTCTTTTGTATCTGTGCCATTTTCTATAGGCATTGCTGAGTAAGTCAGCTCTGAAGACTCAGCAGTACAAGTATCGGGATTTGACTGCAGCTGCTGGTCTAATGAATTGGCCACGTGTTCAATTGGCTGCTTGCGCTCAATCTCCTTCAAGTGATCAACTGCCGACCTGCGCGTGGCTGCACCAGTGTCAAGCGAGCTCTGGCTGGCATTGGCTGAGCTTCCTAGAGATAGGCGTGAGATTGCTGCCCACAGTGACGAGCTTTGGCTCCGGTCGGCAGTTGTTGGGCGCTGAATCTGGATGCCATCGTTGGAAACTAAAGTGGTTTTGGTGGCAGGCCGTGCCTTGGTTCCTGGCTGCGTACGTGGTGCTGTTGAAAATTGGATAGATGTCAGATCGTGTGGAAGGGATGAGCTGGCGGTACCTGGGCCTGGATGATTCTGCTTAGTGTGAGGTATGTCGCTGCCGTCGTTGTTGATGCTGCTGCCGCTGCTGCTTTTGCTGCAGGTCCGTGTTGAGTTTCTTGGAGTCACTGTGGTCGATGCAGTTGCAGAATTCGGGTCTGAGCTGCGCCCACCATCAGGACCTGAAGCAGCAACCAGCGGCTTCATCATGCACAATGCCTGCTTGCGTCCTGATGGCGCCATGCTTGATGCGCTGGCTGGCCGCGAGTCGGGCGATACTATCCGCCCACGTGCTTCTATCCGGCGGGGATCGCTGGCCAGGGTTGTAGCCACCTGTGGTCTACTCTGAGTGGCCATACCATCAAGGAGTTCATCTGTGTTGCCCAATCCGCCTCGGGTGGCACTAGAGCGGATGGATGCTGACCTGAGCGAGCGAGTAAAGTGAGGAGGAACAGTGCCGGCATATCCTGTCGCTGGTGACGTAGGCGACATTTGAGAGTGCTCTTTCTGCGACATGTTTGACGACCAGCTGCGCGGCCGACCGTCAAAATCCAGCAGGGTGCTCATAAAGCCCGATGGCAGCTCTGGCGTGGATGCTGTCTGTGGGCCATCAACAAAGTTTCCGAGCGAGTGTCGCTGGTCACGATCTGTCGCACTGCGTCTCATTTAATAGCAAAGAAAAAGTGTAAATGCTTGAATTGAAAGAAAAGCAGCAAGGACTCACAGAAAGAAAAGTAGGCATATACCCATGCCATCACATGACGGCTAAAGCTGGAAGCTGTGGAGAAAGTCCAGTGGCGTTTCAGGTGGGCTTTCAGCAGTTGCTGACTTGCTGGAAGAGTTGTCGGTGACAACCTCAAACCACACATTTGGTCCGTAACATATGCACAGCTCTTCACCTGCAGTAATGTCGCGCAGCGCAACGTATTTTATCAGTGCCCGATCCATGTCCCTCACAAATCCAACGTTTTCGCTGCCTGACGGCTCGTGGTTAAACATGCTTCCCAGGCCCAATGCCAGCGCATACTGCCCTCCTCGCCAACAGTAAGTGTAGTGGTCCAGACAAGTATGCTTCCCATAGTCGCGGTACTCTTCGCGGCCAAACACCAGCACAGGTGATATATGCACTAATGTTCCCTTGCTTATTGGATTGCGTGTAAAAACACCTCTACCCCGCAGCGGATGAGAGCGCAGCTCAAGACATCCCAGTTCAGGCAAATGTACTACCTCCTTGTCGCCATCGTCTACAGCCGCCATTTCAAATAAAATAAATAAAAAGTAAATACTAGCAAGCTACCACTCAGACAGTTACTATTGCGATCATTACTCGATTTTCCAAGTTAAAAATTATGGAGTGGTCCAGCTGGCCCGCATTGAGTAGAGTATACATCACCCACTGTCGTTTTCATAATCACTATAGTTTGAACTTTTAATAGCTATAGCATTATTTTTTTATGGAACCAAAAAATAGCAGCACAATAATTAAAATTGTGCAAATTGGCGCACCTGCTGTTTAACAAGACAAGCGATAAAAACTTTGGCCCAAATCTCGTTGCTGCTTATTTAGCAATTGTGAATATCATTGGCAGTGGATATTTATAGTATATTTTTCCCATTATTGGTTTGTGTGAATAATATATAGCTAATCCAACAATCCTAGTGGTAGTAAATAAGCCCTCTCAGTATAACAATATAATGCTTAGCTGTCTAGCATAATAACCATCAGCTATGCTTTTCTAAATTAAGGTTTTTGTGTCAAAAGAGGCCATAGGTTTATATACAACCGTAAGGAACCCTCAGCTGGAGGAAGCTGTCCTTTCTTGCGCTCCATTAGCTCAGTTGGTTTAGAGCTTCGTGCTTATAGTTTACAAGACTATGTTTGAGTCACGCGGAGGTCGCCAGTTCGATCCTGGCATGGAGCACTTTTTGCTATTGCTAGTGTTCACTTTTGACGGTAATTTTATCTAGCCAGGCAATGCAAAGAATTTTCTCTTTTTTTTTGACAGTGGGGAAAACGGAGACAAAATTTTTTTTTGGAGGGGTAGGAGGAACAAGTTGTAAATATTTCTAGACACTTTAAAGAGATTGTGGCTGAAGGATGATATCTCTAGTTTTTGTAGAAATAGGCGGCGTTTAGATTAGCGGACAGAACATAGTGGGTTTCGCCGGTGTGTGAACAGTGGCCACGTTTTTGGATGAGAGTCTGAAGAAATGTATTTTTTTAGCAGGAATGCATTGCTCGCAGGTTGCAAGCTAGAGCCAACTGCCTGCTCTAGTATAGCGTGGATTTATACAAGAAAGCAAAAGCATGCGGAAGGTGCAGCAATGACAGCTACATTTGTGGTAAAGGGTAGTTTTGCATAAAGTCAAACGTGTGAATGGTAAGAAAAATGATTCTGCCAGCAACAAAGCGCAGCAGTTTCCAAGATGGCTCACATGATGATTAAGCGGAAGTAAGAATGCACAGTGGCATATACAGAGCGCGCGGCATAATGCTCAAAACCAGGTAGTAACGATGCATTTTACGTATTTACGAGTACATTGATGAAATGGAAGAAAGAAAGAAAGAGCTTTTGATTAAATATGATCGGTGAAGCTGGGCATGACGATCCCAGCGTTAAAAAAAAGCCTCCTAGCCAATCATAGAGGGGTGAAGTGGGCGCAGAAGCAGGGCAGGGGAGCTTGAAAGTGACCTTGAAGCTAGAGGTTGCCCAGGGCGTCAATGAGGATGTCGTTTTCCAGGCGCAGGCGGCGGATTTTGGCAGAGTAGCGGCGCAGGCTGGCCTGGCGCAGCGCGACCTGGTCGCGAATGTACGCGAGTTTGGCCTCAAGAAT